GCAGCCCCGGCCCCCCCACCACACACAAACCCTACTTGTTAGTAAACTTTTTGCTTCTTAAAAAACCAAAAAAAACAAAAAAGAAACAAAAAAACCCACCAAAAACAAAACAAAACAAAAAAAGAAAAACAAAACGAAAAAAAACCCTGTATTTTTTTCTTTTTTTTTTTTTCTTTAAAGGTTATCAATTCTAATTCTTTACTTTCATTTGAATACAAAACACATAAGTTGCTATTATCTTTCGTGGCTCCCTGAGCTGAATTTTCTAAGCTTTCTTTGAAATCACTCCTCATTGCTTCTGTCCGAAGACCAAGAAGGGCTTGCACAGACGATCCCGTAGCGTGGGCTTCCCCTTTCTCTTCAAACATCCAAGCACGGAAAAAAATAAGGATAAATCCATATATATAAAAAAAAACAACCCCAAACCAACCAGGCGACTGTGTCGATGTCCCGTCGGCAGCCGAGGATCCGAGCGCTCCCGGGATTCCAGCGGCGTCCCATCATCACTAACACACCCAACAACGCACGGGGACCACAGCAGGGACAACTTCTCACCACTGGACAGCTCTGCTCGGCCTGGGTGGCAAAGTCACGTCCCCACGGACGCTTCCAGAGGGGCAGGGGAGGGGAAAAAACAAAAACAAACAAAAAAAAACAAACCGAAAAACCCATAATAAAATTGCCACCACCAAAACCATCAGTGGAATACAATTACAGCAGACGAAAAATACACAACTAGTGTACCGGGAGGGACCCCCTTCAACGCTATTTACTAGTCCGGTATTTACACTTTTCACAAGTCTTATGCAAGGCTGCACAAAACAAAACAAAACAAAAAAAAAAAAAAGTCACGATAAAAAAAAGGAGTCCTTTATAGTGCCACCAAAGCGCAGACGGAAAGAACCGGAAAACCAAAAAAAAAAAAAAAAATTCAAAAAAAAATCAAAAATAATAATAAAAAAAAAAATCAAAAGAAACCCCACGACCCTAAAAACCAAAGGAACATCCGTTTAGGGCTCCAACGTGTGCCAGAGTTGCAGATCTCCAAATCAATCCGTGTGTGGCGGACGCCGGGCAGGGCCCCCCTCGGAGCGGGCACGGTCCCTGGGCCACCCCGTGGCATCCCCCCGCTGCTTCCCGAGTCCTGCGGGGCCGGGAGCTGCCAGCCCTCCCAGACGCTCCACGCTCAGTAGATGACCTCGTAGACTGTGGCCTTCTTGTCACCAGAGCCCGTGACGATGTACTTGTCATCCGCTGAAATGTCACAACTTAAGACGGACGAGGATTCCTTGGACTGGGACGAGGAGATGGAGGAGGGAAGGGAGAACACCCATCAGTTTGGCTGCCCTGGCTCACCAAGCACCAATTCCATGCTGGTGGCATCGCCACATCCCACGGGCTGGGCACCCACCCGGCCACCCCAGGAGGATCCTCCCTCTCTCCAGGGCTGGCAGCCCCAGGCACGATGCCGAGAGGGGGTCTGGGTGTAGCCCCCATCCCCTGCCCTTCCCAAGAGGCTCCTACCTGGAAGATGCTCGCTCCGTAGGGCGTCCTCCAGGCGTTGAGCAGGTTGTCTTTCCCAGTGCTCACAAACCATTTACCTGTTCCCAGGAAACACGGTGTCAGCAGTCGAATAAACACCTGCCACTGCCAGCCCTACAGACAGATCCCGTGGCCAAACTCTTCCTGTCCCCCAGGCTTCTGGCTGTTTGACCTCAGCAAGTGGCCATTTTGGAGAAACGGGAAAAGCTGGAGATTCCCCAGAGAGGCCTGTCCAGCCCCTCTCCACTGGGACACATCCCAGCAGTCACACGTGCTGCTTCCCACCTCCCACGATGCCACGTGGCCATTGGTGACCACAACACTTCCACCCATGGAAGTGTTCCAGGCCAGGCTGGACAGGGCTTGGAGCAACCTGGGCTAGTGAAAGGTGTCCCTGCCCGTGGCAGGGGGTGGGATGGGTGTTCATGAAGGTCCCTGCCCAGCCCAACCGTTCCATGATCCCCCCACCATGCCCGAAGGGACGGAGCTCCGGGCTCGCTTACCGCAGTAGGCGAACTTGAGGGAGAGGACACAGCTCTCGTGGAGGTGCAGCTGGTACTTGTCGGGCTTGGTGTGGTGCAGCACCTCCACGTTGCTGCTCTCCATGCCCACGGCCAGCCACTCGCCCGTCGGGCAGTACCCCAGGGAGAAGATCTGCAGGGAAGGTGGGACATGGGAATGCTCAGGGTGGGGCTGAACCCACCAGCTCTGCCCACAGCCCCCCAGGCAGGGCTGGAACTAGAGGGGCTTCGAGGTCCCTTCCAGTCCAACCACTCTGGGATCTATGGCACGGGTGGGGGTTGCTGGGCAGCCCCAGGCTGGTGCAGCGGGTTTGGAGAGGCACATCCATGTGTCTGGAGCAGCCACATGAGCTGTGAATGCTGGGATGGCTCCAGCCCCCTGGATGCTGCTGCACTTGCTAAACAGAATCGAGATCCCAGCTTTGTCCCTTTGGATCAGGGCTCTGGGAGGGTCTGCTGGAGGAGGCAGGATCCTGATCCCTGCAGCCAGCCCACCCACAGAAAGCTGTTACATCCACAGCCATCCCATGGGAAGCACTGCCTCCCTAACGGCAGCCTGACTGGGCAGGGATGGAGAAATGAGGACAGAGAAGCTGCAACCAGATCCAGGGAGCCCTATGGCTCCTACTGCCTCCAACACTCCACCAAACACAGCAGGAACAGCCTCGCTCAGGGCCAACAGGGCCATTTTCCCAGCAGGAAAAGCCCCCTCCCACAGCCCCGCACGATCCAGCTGCCAAACAAGCTGCCCTGCTTTCCGTGGAGGGCTAAACCCCTCCGTGGGGTCTCTGCACAGCAGGGCCAGGCCGTGCCCAGCCCGTTACCTGGGAGGTGAAGTCGTGCTGCTGGAGCTGCCGCCCTTCCCGCAGGTCCCACGAACGCACCGTGTTGTCCAGGCCCCCCGTCCACAACTTCGTACCATCGTGGGAGATGTCTATGCAGCTGGCACCGTCTGTGTGGCCTTGGAATTGCCTTTGAACCAGAAAAAAAGACGCTAATCTGCAAGGGGAATGCTAGGAAAAGCAGGGAGGACTGTTCAAGGTGCTCAGATGTCATTTTGTGAGGCTTATCCACACCAAACATGCCTGGAAATCCACCCAGGAGCATCCTCTGCTGAGGAGCAGTAGCATGGAGAAGTGTACTGGGCTTGCTTAAAGATGAGCACCATAGGATGGATGGTGCAGCATCAAGAGAGCATTCCTGCCATCATTCCATACAAAAAAACTGTGGCTGCCTCATCCCTGGAAGTGTCCAAGGTCAGGCTGGACGGGCCTTGGAGCAACCTGGGATAGTGGGAGGTGTCCCTGCCCATGGCAGGGGGGTGGACCAAGATGAGCATTAAGGCCCCTTCCATCCCAAACCATTCCAGGATCTCCAAGCTCCTCCCACCAGAGCACACCCGGCAAGGCCCCGACCCCGAGCAGAGCCCGCTCACCTGACGAGGGTCTGGTTGTGCAGGTCCCACACGGCGATGTTGCCGTCGCTGCAGCAGGAGAAGCAGACTTTGGCGTCGGGGCTGATGGCCAGGGCGTAGCAGGCGGGGGCCGAGGAGGTGAGCTCGGCCTTGATGCGGGGCGTGGGCGACGCCAGGTCCCAGATGGTCAGCGTGCTGGCCTCGCCCCCCACGATCAGCGTGCGGCCGTCCGGGAGCAGCTTGCAGGAGCGGATGTAGTTATCCCTGTTCTGGGGGGGACAGGGGGCACGTGACGAGGGGGGCAGAGATGGCAACGGGGAAGAGGAAAAGGGATGGTGGTGGGAAGAGGAAAAGGGATGGCAATGAGAAAAGAAGAAAAAGAGATGGTGATAGGGAGGAGAGGGAAGGGAGGATGACAAGGGAAGAGGAAAAGATGTTAAAGGGGGAAAGAGAAAAAGAGACATTAAGGGGAGCAAAGATGTTATGGGAAGAGGAAATAGGGGGAGAAGAGGAAAAAGATGGTAATGGGGGTACAGGTGGTAACAGAGAAGAGGAAAAAGATGGTAATGGGGGTACAGGTGGTAACAGGGAAGAGGAAAGGGATGGTGATGGTGGGGAGGAGAGGAAAAATAGATGGCAACATTGGGAAGAGATGATGATGTCAATGGGGAGATGATGATTAATGGCATTGGAGGCGGGGGAAGGAGGGGACACACGTGTGCCTGGGACCAGCAGGCCCCCACCACGTCTCACCGGCACCCCCGGGCGCCGCGGCCCCCCCAGCCCCTTACCAGGCAGTCGAGCTGGGAGATGGGGCTCTTGCTGCCGGGCTGGCTGATGTCCCAGATCTTGACGCAGCCCTTGCCGCCGGTGTAGACGTGCCGGGTGGGGTTGCTGATGGTGACGGCGCACACCACCTCGCCGTGGCTCAGCGTGTTGATCTGCCGCGCGTGCCGGGGGATGCCGGGCCCCGCCAGCGCGTCGTGCGGGAACGGCACCGGCTGCATCTGCCCGTCGGCGCTCACGTGGAACGAGTAGGCTCTGCCATGGCGGGGCAAAGGGCGGTCAGCCCAGAGGGGCAGGTTTAACGGGGGGCAGCGGGTGGCTTTGCAGTCTGGCTGGCTGCCACGCCGTGCCCTGAGTGGGGGCTTGGCTGAACCCAGCCCCGGGTGAAGGACTCGTCTCCCTCCCGCCCACACTGATCCCCCCACAATCCATAAAAATCCAAAAGGGCCTTACGGTTTCCCTCCGGGGATGGAGGCCAGGCTGGAGGGCAGGCCGGGGGCTCGCATGGGTGGGTGTGGGTCAAAACCAACCTGCCGAGAGACACACGGGCACGGGTGAGGCTGGACATGAGCTGGGCACACCAAACACCTTCACATCCATGAGCCCAGGGGACACTGAGCAACTCCCTTTTTTAACCTTGCTGCTAATTGTTATCATTCCCCTGGCAGAAAGGGGAAAGCTGAGGTATTAGCCAAAGGTTTTGGGGCTGCAAACAGCAGCATGGGACATGCTCCCCCCCTCCCCGTGCTGTCCCCAAATCCCCAAGGACAGGAGCAGCCAAGTCATGCTCAGCACGCTGGCTGCAGAAACCCCCATCTCTGCATTAATGGCAGTGTTTTACTTCTTGTTTTGCCTTAACACATGGGATCGAGAATCTAGTGAGAGTAATGGGAAGGGGGCTGAGTATCTGAAAGGAGGAACTCCAGTGTAGCAGCACATGCACATTCCCCCACGGGGAGGCATCTCCACCCCCAGCCCCCTTTAACGGCAGCTGACACAAAACACAGCTTGTTTTAAGGAGTAGGAGCCTCCATTTCCCAGCTGACCTAGGGGGTCCCCCCAAACCCTCCCCAGCCCTCCCCCCCCAGCGAGAAAAGGAGCTAAAAGTGCTACGTACAGCTCCAAAGCTCACCATTGGTGACCGGCCGTAGGCGGCGGCGGCGGCGGCGGCCGCGCTCATCTGCGGGGGGAGGTTGTGCAGCCCCGCGTAGGCGCCGGGGCTGGTGAGGGACCCGTTCATCTCGTGGTGCCCCATCATGGCGAAGGGGGCCGCGTAGGAGCCCGCGATGGAGATGGGCGTGCGCAGGGCCGAGGCTGCGGGAGGGACGGGCACAGGGTTAGGAGACAGAGCGAGGCAGCGTCCACGGGGTCACCCGCGATGGGAGAGACCCCTGAGGTCACTGAGTCCAACCTGCAACTCGTCACTGCCTTGTTCCCCCAGCCCAGAGCAATGAGTGCCATGTCCAGTCATTCCCTGAACCCCTCCAGGGATGGGGACTCCACCACCTCCCTGGGCAGCCCCTTCCCAGGAAGAAATCCCACTGTTTTTCAACCTGGGCCTTCCGTGACACAGCTTGGAGCCACAGATCACAGAATATTCTGAGTTGGAAGGGACCCACAATGATCATCAAGTCCAGCTCTTAAGTGAATGGCCCCTACAGGCATCGAAGTCACAACCTCCCTGTTAGCAGCACCCTGCTCTGACCAACTGAGCTAATCCCACCTCATGTCCACGTGCCCTCTCACCCCAGAGCTGCAATGGCTGGGCCTCCTTCCTCACCCCACCTCTGACATGGGGACCACCCCAGCCACACCTGGATCAGACCCCCCCATAAACCCGACTTCCCGCCAGGCTGCTGCTTCCCCCAGGCAGGGGATGAGCTGGAGCCGTGCCAGGCACAGCCCAGGCCGGTACCCACCCAGGGGGTCCATGCCGGTGGGCTTGCCGGGCATGGGCCGCAGCCCCGGGGTGCTGCTGGTGCCCGGGGTGGGCGCGTCGTTCCGCGGCGTCGGAGTGTTCGACTTGAGCCCGGGCGTCGATGACTTGTCGTTCTGGTGGGGAAGAGACGGGAAACAAGGGGTGAGGGTCCAGCACCGGCACCCCCAGCCCCCCAGCCAGCCCCCCAGGGGAGCAGGACGTACGTGGCCCAGGTCTTTAGTCTTGGAGGAGGGAGTGCTGCTGGAGGAGGCGACCGAGGCCGGGCTGTTGGGGGCATCTCCCTTCTTCAGCCCGCGGGCTTTGTCCAGGCCGTTCTCCGGGGGGGAGTGGGCCGGGCTGACCCGGGGGGTGGCGGGATCCTGTGGGACGGGAGAAAGCCTTGGAATCCCCCGTGGCAGGGCGGGCAGCCTCTGGCATCACCCCCAAACCCCACGGTGGCACGGGCAGAGGGGCAGATCCACCCACAAGGACTCACCTCATTGGAGACGTCGACCACCAGGTCATCGCTCTTGTCACCATCGCTGTCCTGGAACACAAAGTGAGTCACACCCTGCAGAGAGCCCCAAAAACTGGGGTGGGGGCACCCCCTGAGGAGCTGAACCATCCCTCCACAGCACCAGACACTTAGGGGGGATATTAGGGAAAATTTCTTCCCTGAAAGGGTGGTCAGGCATTGGAACAGGCTGCCCAGGGCAGCGGTGGAGTCCCCAGCCCTGGAGGGATTTAAAAGCCATGTGGATGTGGCACTTGGGGACATTATTAGTGGTAGTAACACACTACCACTGGCAGTGCTGGGGGACAGTTGGACTTAATGGTGTCAGAGGGCTTTTCCAACCTAAATGATTCCATGGTTCTATGACCCACACCATACCTGGAAAATGTTACCCAAACCTGCTGTCTCCCACCCCAGGTCCTGCCTGGTCGTGTCCCTGGGGCTCCCAGGGTCCCCTGTCACTCACATATCGGCTCATGCTGTCCTTCTCCTCTGCTTTCCTCTTCTTGGAGTCGATGCTGTAATCCGTGGAGCTCCGGTGCTTCTCGCTGGCTCTCAGGCTCTCCGAGGGCGACACGGAATTATTCTGCAATGCCACAAGAAGCTTTGAAGTTGGAAACAGAAGGATTAGGACTACATCAGCAGCAGCAGCAGCTTAGAAGGTGCCACATATAGCCCTGTCCCAGCAGCGGGGTGAGACCCTGTGGCTCCCACCACACCAGGAGTGCAGAGCGGAGAAAAGCTGTGCTCCCTAAAATCAGCCCAATCTCCCTCATCCTGTGCTACCCATGGAAGAACAGGAGCTTCACCCCAGCCCTGGGCAGGGACAGGGCTTTGCACAGGGACAGGGGTGGCACCACGGACGGGCATCAGCAGAGCAGGAGGAGCAAAGAAACCGCTGCATCCCATTCCCAACATCAGCAGTTGAGCTCTGCCAAGCCAAAGGGCACCCAAAAAACATCCAGGAAACCCCCTGTGACCAGGAGCACCAGAGCCCAGTGTCCACAAGGATGCCCTGCTCAGGGGGACTTCTGTCCCTGCTTCGAGCAGCGAAGCCCAGGAGATCCAGCATTCCCAGGAAAGCCTCAGAGCCCATGGGTGCTTCCTCTGGCACTGGTACAGCTGGGAGGCCTCATCCAAAAGGAACAAAGGAACGGCTGCATCCCGGCTCTGGCACCAGCAGCCGAGCCAGAGGATATCCACAAAATATCCCAGAAAACCCACGTGACCAGGAGCAGCAGAGCCTGGGGGGGCTTCTGCCCCTGCTTCAAGCAGCAAAGCCCAGGAGGCGCCGACATTCCCAGGAAAGCCCTGCGAATGCTGGGAGCAAAGATGGCAGCACAAAACAACCTCACGAGCGCCAGAGCACGCCCAGCCCTGATCCCACATCATCAACCCCCCTGGCACAGCCCCTTCCCCACATCCCAGCTCCCCTTCCCCGAGTTCCTGGGGAGCAGCAGCAGGAGAAATGCCTGCCCGCCCTTCCCGAGCCTGCCAGCCCCGCTAAGCAGCAGCGTTCCCTAAGCTGCTGTGCCCGCCTTTCTTCCCCGGCTGAAAGGGAGAACTAAAGCAGTTCATGTTTCTCCTCGGTCCCCAGTAAGCAGCTTTGGATAACACCGAGCTCTTTCTTCCCAGGCAGTCATGCTGAAAACCCTCGCAGCTCCCGGAGAATCATGTCAAGCATTTAGAGGCATCGATCCATTCAGCGCCGCCGCTGGCCCGGCGCCAAGGAACTAAATATTTTTTATTGCACAGGCAAAGGCTGGGGAAAATATGAATGACTAACACTGATTACGGCGCATTAAACCTCCCCCGGGAACACCCCGGCTCCGGGCTTATGGATCGGGAACCTTCCCACCTCCGCCGGCCCCCTGCCCGCCCGAGGAGCGGGTTAATGATGCCCAATTCCCCTCTCCCCCCTTTAAAGAGCACTTTCCTTCCCGCCCGCCCCCGGCTCTCAAAAGGCCCATTTGTGGGCTCGGGGATGGCAGGAAATCGCTGCAAAGCCACAGCTCAGCCGGGCTTTGTCCTGGCAGCTTCTCACACGGAATCACTGGGGTTGGGAAAGACTGCTGGGATCACCGAGGGATCACCCCCCTGTGCCCCATCCCCACCTTGTCCCCCAGCCCAGAGCACTGAGTGCCACGGCCAGGCATCCCCTGGACACCTCCAGGGGTAGGGACTCCACCAGCTCCTGTTCCAAGGCCTGACAGCCCTTTCCATGAATCACAGAATATGCTGAGCTGGGAGGGACCTGCAGGGATCACGGAGTCCAACTCCTGGCCCTGCACGGGAACATTCCCAAGGGTCACACCGTGTGCAGAAATTCCTTCTGATGCCCCTTTTCCCTGAGCCAGCGATGCTGTGCACACCAGGGTGTGGGGGGTCCAGCTGGGCCCCACTGCATGGTGAGGATAGCTCCCTCCCCCAGTATCCTCCCTGCCTCCCCATCCCTGCTCCAGGGAAACCAGAACCCACCCGCTGCCCCGAGGTGTCAGGGACACGGACAGAGGCACCAGTGCCCTCCAAAATCCAGGGATCCGGGTGGTTTGGGAACTGCTCGACCCTCCAAATCTGACTTAACGTGGTGTAATAACCCAACCATCCCAGCAGATGAGATGACCCAAGGTAATGGGAGAGTGAACAGGAATAAAACAGCTTTCCCAGTCACTAAAAGGGTTTTGGAGCCGACTGGGCTCTCTCAAAACTGAACCGTGAGGCTCTGCCCCCAGCAAAGAGATTTAACCCAGATCTCAGAACCAGGTGACCCCACTCAGCCCAGCACAGCCCTTCAGGCAGGGTGGCAGCTTTGGATTGCCTGGTTTTTATTATTTAACAAGACCTGTGCAAAAGGCAGCCCTAGTGCTCCCACCTACAGAATGGGTTTTGAAGGGATAAAGAAACCAAAACCAACACAACCACCAAAAGCTGGGGGGAAAGGAGGCAATGGGACTTACTGCACTTGAGTCTCGCTCTGTCAGGAGATGCCGGGGCAGAGGTGAGGTCACAGCCAAAATAAAGAGGAGACAGACAAATAAAGCAAGTTAGAATAAGTCTTAAATCAGCAAATAAACCAAGAAGCTCCTCACGCTCTGAACTCAAACCCTATCTGGGCTCTCTCTGGCTTTAAAATCCTCCTGTTCATCCAGCCCCTGCTCCCTCTTGCTCCTTTCTTTTTGTCCATGTGATTTATTTGGCAAAACACAGCTGGAAATGCCCTGAATCCAAAGGGAATGGCAGCAGCCTCTGGTGCTTTTCCCCAAAGTCACAACCTCCGACAGTCCCATCCGCAGCCACAGTGTGGTTTAGCCATTAATTTGTGCCCAACAGCCCCGTTTTCCCTGGGATCTCCTGGCAATCCAAATCCATGCAGGGAAAGGAACGTAACTGGATAAACTGCTAAGGATAATTTTGTCTCACTGTTTTCTCAGGAAGGGAAAACACCCCCAGTCCCCCAGCAGAGCCCAGCAGCTCAGAGATTCCACGAGTTCCAGCACCAGCGGACGCCGAGAGGAGCAGCCCCCCTGGCCCCCCCTCGCTCTCACCTCTGTGGTCCAGGTCGTGGTGGTTCTTCTCGTCCTTGACAGCGAGGTGGGCCTGGCTGCCCAGGGCTCCGAGGGCCAGCAGCCCCGAGCTGGTGCCGGTGACGGGCGGGATTCCCGGCGGCTGGAGCCCCGAGGGGTGCGGCGGCAGCTGGACCGGGGGCCCGTGGGCGGCGTGGGAGAGGTGCTGGGCCTGGAGCTGCTGCTGCTGCAATGAAAGCACCAGTGAGGTGGGGAGGGGCAGGCGCTGGGGGCACTGGAGGGGACGTTCCCGGTGTCCCAGGTGATGCCCCGGGAGCTGCCCCGCTGGGACGCCTGGAAGGAGAAGCCCCGTTAGCAGGAGGGACAGAGGGTGCCCGGGCCCGGCCCCCACGCCAGGAGGGCACACGTGGCACGCCCTCCCTCAGTCACAGGAACACACACCATTGCTGCAGACACGGTTAGTTTGGGGTTTACAGCAGGTAAAAGCAAAAGGGAAATACGGGAATCCCGCCCAGGAGGCAGAGAGTGGCCCGGGACAGAGTGCAGAGGCTAAACCGGCCAGAGAGAGGAAATTCCAGCGGCCAGGATCCTCCCAGACACCTCAGGAAAGCAAGTTTTGCTAATTTACTCAGGACCAGCTTTGGGGTGTTTGAAGGGGAGAGGAAAATGCCCACATAGTGCCCCAGTCCCATCCCACCATCCTGTGCTCCCAACACCTTCTGACATCACTGGCTGTCCCTTGCACTGGATAAATCATGGAGGGACCCCCCAGCTCTACCACAGGGCTTGGGCATCACCCCCACATTCCCTGGCACACACACAGGGAGCTGCAGCCCAGCTGGGACAGCTCCCAGCTGCTTCCAGGGGATTTTTGGGAGCCCTGAGTCCCAGCCGTCCCAGCACGCACTCATCCAGCCGTGGGGATTGATTCCCTGCTCCATTTCAGCTGCAAAAAGCTGAACTACAGCCCTGGGGAGAGGAAAGGAAAACCAAACACGTCCCCAGCGATTCTATTTCAAATACAAACTTGGAAGAAAACCTGCTGAAATCTGAGGAGCTGCTTCCAGGAGTCCCCAAGCCATCCCTCCTGCAGCTCCTCCGCTCCCAGGACACCCCTGGTCCAGCCAGGAGGGTCTTGGAGCTGGCACTCCTGTCTGGGACCCTCCTGCCTGCACCCACAGCCCCCTTGAGCAGCACCCCAGTGAAGTCACACGTGGGCACCAGCAGGAATCACGGGGCTGGGAGGGGACACCTGAGCTGCAGTGGAGCCTCCCAGCCCACTCCAGATCCCCACAACCACCTTGGATCAGGATTTCTCCTCAGTGTCACCAAGCACCAGCCCGTGTCCTGCCCAGGGCACCCAAAGGGCACAGACAAAGAGCAGGACCTGCTGCCGCCCGGCCCAGCCTGAGGGACACCACCAGGAATACACCAACAACATCCCCAGGTGTGGAAGACTCCGTGATTCCAACAGTTCCATCACAGACATTTCCAGCAGAACTGGAAGGAGACACACCCAGGTGCCCCACAGCCCTGGAAGTGTCCAAGGCCAGGCTGGACAGGGCTCGGAGCAACCTGGGCGATGGAAGGTGTCCCTGCCCAGGGCAGAGGGTGGAACTGGGTACGCTGCAAGCTCTTTTCCAAGCCAAACCATCCCAGGATTCTGTGGTAAGTTCTCCCACACCAAGGCCCAGTTTTCGTGGGAACAGCTCCAGCCCACTCCCCACGGAGGGGCTGTCCTGGGGCAGCACAGGGTGGGCCAGGCTGTCACACTCCAGACACAGGGGCACGGAGCAGCCCCTCGCTGGGTGGGTCACCCACCCCCTCCCAGGGCTGCTTTCTCAGCCTTGTGTGATGGAGAGGGAAATCCTTGGTCAGGATGAGATCCAGGGGCGGAGCTGAAGGCAGGAGCCACGTTATCTCCAAGCAGCTTCTTCCAGGCAGCCCCCAGGTCCCGGCTGAAGCCAAAGGGAAAAGGCAATTAGGCCTCTGGTACAGGAAAAGCATAAATCACTGTGCCCTCAACAAGCAGGAGCTGGAAGCTTCTCCCAGGCTGCTCCATCCACAGGGCAAGGACAGGAAGCATCCTTTAGGATCACCATTCCAGGAGTGTCCTCCAACAAGGAGAGCTGGTGGGGTGACGCAGCACCACGAGGGGTGATTCCCTCAATAATCCCATCTCCTGCCACACACACGTGCCAAGATCATCCTTCCAACACCAAAGCAAGTGGAACAGATCCTCAGATCTTCCTGAAATCAATGAGGCTCCTCCCAATCCCAATTCCACGTGATTTCCAGCCATTGAAGCGAGAGGCAGGGCTGGCCATTGTATGAGAACATCACCCAGAGAACGGTCCCAGATGGCTTTCCAGCCCAGCACACTCCTCTCCTGCAGGCTCTCCAGTGGTGCCCATCCCTGCAGGGCCAGAACACACCGAGATCCAGCGTTTTATCCTCAGCAATCTCCACCTCAAACATCTGCATGGCCCAACTCATCCCAGGAGCCCCAAAAAAGGGATGTGGTCTCGTGGAAATCCAGGCAGCGACACTCCATTGCCGGGATGATGATGGGGATCACAGCCCCAGGGGACAACACAGCTCCACCACAGTGACACAGCAGCACCCACAGCAGGAGACTCAGCACCCAGAGCCTCACCCTCCAGCAGAGCAGGAAACTGGTTTTTCTTCCTTTTCTTTAGGCTGTCAACAAATAAACCCATCCAAGGGCTCCGTGAGCTGCGGGAACAGCCTCTCACAGCAGCCCCACTCCAGGGGACACAGAAACCAAGGTCAGGACACAACATCCCACTGTGGCTCAAAATAACACTGAAAGGTGTTTTCCTCCCCTGGGCAGCAGGAACTGGTGAGCAGAATCCACGTGGGAAGTCCTCACTGGTTGGAAGCCTTGTCCCTCCATCCAGCACTGCAGCTCCATGGAGTGGCCTTGTCCCTCCATCCAGCACTGCAGCTCCATGGAGTGGCCTTGTCCCTCCATCCAGCACTGCAGCTCCATGGAGTGGCCTTGTCCCTCCATCCAGCACTGCAGCTCCATGGAGTGGCCAAGATCCCACCTGGGGGCTGCAGAGCTCCATCCCGGCACTGCTGAAGGAGCCATGTCCCAGCTGGATCACTCCCAGGGCAAGGAGAAGAGGATGAGCCAACAAGCCCAACAAGTGCACATCCCAGGGTGGTGCTGGAGGACCCCCAGGCTCCACTCACAGCTCCCTCCTCCGTCCTTCCCATCCACACCACTCGACTGTGTCTGACGCACATCCCTCGGGAATAACATCCTGGAGGCTCCATGGAGTGGGATAAAGCCCGCCTGGGACTCCATGGCAGTGTTTCTGTGTCAGCCCATGGAGCAGTCGAAGCACATCCCTCAGGAATAAGATCCTGGAGGCTCCCTGGGACTCCACGGCACAGGGACGGTGCTCGCTCGGCGTGTCCTCTGCTGGAAAGCCCAACTTCCCTTCCCAGCCCTTATTCCAAGCCTGGAAAAGGTTGTTTTTAAAAACACACAGTGTGAGGGCTTGCTGCAAACATCCCAGGGATGGGCCGGCTGCAGGAGCTCTCTGGGCTCCCAAAAACTCCCCAGCACCCACAGCTGGGTGCTGATGGCAGGGACAGGACAGGGATCAAGGTCCCAGTCAACAAGTGACACAGCACAAGGACTTGGAGCGGCCCTTCAGAACCAGGGACCCTCCTACCACCTCCCCAGCTGAACCACAAGCTCAGACCTGCTCAGGATGCTGCCCTGGGGCTCCTCATCTGCTGGCAGGATCCCAAAAAGGGATCCATGTCCCCACATATCCCAGGACAGCAGCTGGCAGTGGATAAAGACCCTGCCAACCCAACCCGGGGTGACAGCGGGAGCCGACGGGGCTGCACAGACACCGAGAGGTCTCCTTCCTTCTGGGGTCCCTCAGCACGTGCCAGCCAAAGATGGTGAAGATATGAAGAGGTTATAAATTTAGGGGAAAGCTGGCAAGGAATATCTGGTCTGTGGAGTGGCTTTAATTGGATTATGTACATCATGCTTCATGCCTTTGTTCACCGATTTAATGGTTCACCACTTAAGTTCACCACTTGCGTTAAATTTAGTAAAGTAGTCTAATCATTTCCAGAGCTATAACCAAATCAAGGGCTCAATTTCACACAAGCCTGAAGCAGAGGAACTGTGAGACAATGGCCTAGATGCATAAAATTAACAGTTCTTGACCTCAAAAGGGGCAAAAAAAAAGGTTTTCCTGATCCGGTGGTTTTTTGTGTGAGGCAGCACCTGCACCGAGTGCTGGGGCAGTTTGTGAGGGCTTCCCTTGGTGGGAGGGTTGGGACAGCAGAGCCACCCATCCCCAGGGACACGGGATCCCCAGGGACACAGGGGTGGGGCCGTGCACACCCCAGTGCTGCCCTCACCCACCCGAGGAGAGCAAACAAACACGAGGGACGTGTCCACATGAGCAACCCTACAATAACAAACCCCTGGGTGCAACAAGGGGAGGAAAAACAACCCCAAATCCTCTGGGTTTGGTGCCTCGGGGACACCTGAGTGGGTGCAGCAGCACAGACCAAACCAGCTCCACATCTTCAGGATGAGCTTGGAACCTCCTCTACAAGGCATGGAAGGACATGGAATCAACGATCCCCTTCCTGTCAGCAGCAGCCCTGCAATTACAAACCACTCCATGCGCAGAGGGGAGAGAAAAGAACCCCAAATCCTCTGGGTTTGGTGATTCAGGGGCACCAGAGCAGGTGCAGCAGCACAGACCCCCCACCCAAACCACCTCCAAACCTCTGGGATGAGCCTGGAACCTCCTCTGCAAGACGTGGAACCACTCCCCACCCTCCTGCCAGCAGCATCCCTACAGTAACGAGCTGGTGTGTGCACAGATAGGAGGCAAAACCCAAAAACTGCCAGGGTTTTGTGCCCTGGGGGGCAGCTGAGCACAGACCCAGCACCCAAACCAGCTCCACAGCTCCGGGATGAGCTCTGCCCTCCCCTACGAGCCACAGAAGGATGTGGGATTGCCCACCAGCCTCCTGCCAGCACCGTGTCCCTCCCCAGCGAGCCACGGCAGGAGGAGATGCCCATAATTCCTGCTGAAAGTTCGTCAGGGAAGCGATTAAACGGCTGGGCTGGCTGCTTAATGACAGGAGGCACTCGCTCTGATCCAAGGAAGCAATTACCTCGGAAATGGGGGTCACGGGCCCTGCTCATTCACCTTAATTGAATTCCAATATCTGCCTCCAGCTGCCGGGGGCTCCTGCCTGCGGCTCCACGCAGCTCATCAAAGCCACGGGCTCCCTCCTCCCTGTCTCTGCTCACCTCCCAGCACTCCTGGCGACTTTGAGAGCAGCAAGAAGGCCAGGCAGCTCCAGGGTGCTGCCTGCCACCCCAAAACTCAGCTCCCATACCTGGGGTCACTTCCCAAGAGCCGCCAACCCCACCACCAGGGATCCATCTGCTACCAAACCTTTCCTCATCCCCACAGACTGCAAGAGCCCGAGCACAATTCTACCTTTGGTGCTACCCACAAAATACAGAAAAAACGTAGAGAAGAGCAGGTTAAATGCAGAGAATTATAAAGATCCTTGTAGCTTACGAAGTGCAAATAGCTATTAAAAAAAAAAAAAGGCATTAAAAATGAGTGTTTTCTGGAAAACAAAGACCTAAAGCCAGAGGAGCTCTGGAGCCACCTGCCCAGGATGCTGGATGGGGACACCGATGTCCCGGGGTGAGGAGAAGGTTTGCTGCAGGACTGAGACCAGGACATCAATTAAAGAAACAATAAAAATGGTTAATCCTCAAATAACCCCCCCCCCCGAGGTCTGCGAGAGAGAGCCCGGTCAGCGGGAAAGTCAATGCAAGGGACAACAACTCCGCCAGGGACACAGCACATTCCACACCAACAGCCCAGCAGAGACAAGCCTGGGCTCAGGGGGCCTGGCAGGGCTGCTGGGTCCTGCTCTGCACCCCAAACACTGCCCAGGCCATGGAGAACATCCAATTTGCTCGCTGGAGGCTCCTGGAGCTGCCCCAGCACCCGGGAGGGGGCAGGAGGTGGAGATTCCACCCCTTGTCTCGCTCGATGCCCGATTGGGGGAGTTTTGGTCATTTGGGGAAGGGGGTGAGCCGCCCTGCTTTATCCCTCCTGAGCGCAGGATTGCCTCTGGTTATGGTAAATGATAGGAATAAAAGGGGTATACACACGGTGAGAGGCAGATTGGGAAGTCCACGTACCCCGATGATAGCATTCAACTCCGTCATTGTCACTTGCTTGGCACGTTCAACAGCCTGTGCCACTTGCTGTTGGTGCTGCGGGGACAGAGGGGCAGGGCCAGGTCAGAGCTGGGCATGGGGGCACCAGTCCAGGGGCAGGACCCCCCTCCAGAGATGCTCACCCCTCTTTTGGGCTCTGTTTTGCTCATGCCCGGGAGCACCTCCTGGCTCCACGGGGTGCAGGGAGGGGGGAGAAGCCCCTCAGAGCCTTTCTGGCTCAGTGAAGACCCCCAAACCCCTTCAGCTCTCCCCCATCCCAAGGGTTTTCCAATGCACATGGGGGATCAGCCCCAGACCCCCAGGGACCCCTGAGGGGCTCAACCTGCCCACTTGGAGAAACCCCCCCGGGAGAAGCAGCAACTCCCCACCCAGGCTGTGAAAACTTCCTTACCTCTTGTGACAGAAAAGGCATGATCTGGGCTAAAATTGTATTCAGTCTTTTAGCAATTTCTGTCTGAAAAAAAGGAAGAAGAAAAACCAGCAGTCAGCACCAAACAGCCTCCCACAGACGGCACGAGGCTTCCTGCAGCAGCGCTGTGCATCCCCTCCCTGTCCCTCCCCACATACCCCATTCCCATCCCCTTCCACACCTCCAGGTGGAAGCAGCAGCTCCCAACAAAAGCACCTTCGAGCACAGCAGCACAGGGACACATCCCTGCTGCCCTGGGACACTCCAGGCCCCTTCCCACCGTGGGATGAGTGCCACGGTGCCAAGTCCACCACCCTGGACTTCCCTGGCCTCATGAAAACGTAGCCAGGCACTGGTACAGCTCCTCATCCTTGGAGCAGCTGCTGGAGGCTGGATCCCATAAAATCCAGTTTTGGGTGGCCCTCGCCATCACCTCCCACTCCTGGCACTGTGGTGGGTGTTGAGTTTCTCCAGGAGAAACCCTGGCAGAGACACCAGCGAGGGCTGGGGGTCCCTGCTCAGCTCCCGAGGGTTAACGTGGGATCCCTCAGCTCCCGAGGGTTAACGTGGGATCCCTCAGCTCCCGAGGGTTAACGTGGGATCCCTCAGCTCCCGAGGGTTAACTCTGCTGCTCCACCAGGGCAGCTGTGAAAACAGCTCCCGCTCCAAGTCAAACAGGCCGGAGCAGCCGAGGATGCAGCGCCCAACAATGGCCGGGCCGAGCGCTGGCAGGGAATCAAACACCCAGCAATTCCTTCCGACAGCCCCGAGCAGCTCGTTATCAATAACACAAGTGATTAACTGGCTCGCTCCAGCCTCCCTCTTGGCAAGGGGCCTCTTCCTGAGGCAGCCAGCAGTCACTCCCCCTCAGAGAACCCCCCCCTCCTGTGCCCCCCAAATCCATCCCTGCCACCCCAAGGCTTCACCTTTCTCATCCCACAGCTCAGCCCCGAGGATGGGTCCTATAGCACTGTGGATTTTAAAGCCCATCCAACCCAGAGAGGAGCTCTGGGCTCCACCTGCTCTCAAATACTGCAAGGAGAATCCCCAAATATCATAGTTCAGGAGAAAGAGCCCAAGAGACACTCAGACCTTGCTGGGAGGAGCTGGGTGATGGTCAGGTCACATCGCTGTGACCACAGGACCAACCCAACAAGCACAACCCATGTTCCCAGGATGACCATAAGCAAGGAGACACCAGGAAAACCCTGCTCTCCCCCAGCCTGGAGCCACCCCTGTGGAGGGAACAAGCCCACAGACCCCAGAACTCGGGGTCCTGCTCCAAGGGGTCCCCACACACCTGCCCACTGCTGCTCTCGGCTGCTGAGCCACAGGGATATTTCTGGCCATCGTCTTCTCCGAAAGCACCCCAGTGATTGGGTTACACCTGATGCTTTAATTAGCAATTCCAGAGGGCAGGAGAACGTGCTGGCACACTGTGCCAAGGCAGGAGCACCGGGAAGTGACCAGGGGTTGGACTCAGGTACCCCCAGCTACAGCTACACCAGTCACCAGGATCATCACGGACCCCAACGTGAGGATGCACAGGTCAGGAGGCAGCTGGGGCTCATGGAATCCTGGAATGGTGTGGGTAGGAAGGGAGCTTAAACATTATCCAGTCCCACCCCCTGCCATGGGCAGGGACACCTTCCACCAGCCCAGGTTGCTCCAACCCTGTCCAGCCTGGCCTTGGACACTGCCAGGGATCCAGGGGCAGCCACAGCTTCTCTGGGTAACCTGTGCCAGGGCCTGCCCACCCTCACAGCCAACAATTCCTTCCCCATCTCCCATCTCTCCCTGCCCTCTGGCACTGGGAAGCCATTCCCCTGTCACTGCAGAGACACTTCCCTATCGTGACATCCCTGCCCCGAGGAACAGGCTCTGGCCAGCACAGGTGTTTAACCACCCCACACTCACACATCACCCCAGCATCACCCTGCACCCCAAAAACGGGGATGGAAGCTAAAACTGCCCCAATCCAGCCCAGCCACGGCACCGTGTCCGAAGGGGCCAGGCTGGCACCGTGAATGCCACCCCAGCGCTCCCACCACGCGCTGCCCGGCGATGGCAAAAGCTCTTTAAAGGCTTTTTGGCACCAAGGCATCGATTAGATTATATATAGACTGCAGCTCCATGAAATATTTATTCCTTCAGCTTGAAGCCCATTGGATTCTGGATGCGACAAGCCCAGGCGCTGCCCCTGCGAGCTCTTCCCTGCCAGCTCCCGAGTTCCAGAACAAATTCCAGCCTTACTGGAGGTGCAAACAGCGGTGCCAGCACAGGTGAGGGTCAGTGTAACAGGAAAACACAGCACCCAAACAGGCTGACTGCAGGCAGGAGGAAGGGAAGGTGTTGGGTTTTCCCCGGTCCAGACTCACAACCACCCCATCTCCTCCACATTTAAATCCAGTTCTGCCCAAACTCCAAACAAAGATTTTCCGCAAAGAGAGAGACTTCCCATGTGGCACTCGGTGAGCAGAAAGATATTAGATCTCCAAAATATTATGTTTACAACCGTGAGGTTTCCTGTGAACACGAGATTCAATAGTCTTTAAATATTTGTTCACTTTAACTTTTCCCATTCCACGGAATATTAAACTCTGGTTGTCCCCATTAAAACTTTAATCGGGAACGAAAGGGGATCCTCCGGCACGCTGGGAACAGGGAAGGGCTTCATGCCCGACACCTTCCCCATAACGGGGCTCATTCATCACCTTGCCCAGAGTGCCAGAGCCCCCCGAGCCCCCCCGAGCCGCTCCTGCCAAGAAAAACCTCCATTCCCCACGGCAGGTTGCCATGGCAATCCCAGGCTCTGCATCCCCTTCCGATGCCCTGCATCTTCCCTGGACCACAGCTGCAAAGGAGCAGGGATAAAACACCCTGGGGAGTGCCCAGGAGAGGTACCCACCCACCCAAACCCCCAGGGGAGGTGCCTGGTGGATGCTGGGTGCCCCTCCTGGGGTCCATGGGAGCGCCTTCAGGGACACTCACCCGGGCACAGGGATGCTGATGGTCGTTAAAAAGGGCAAGAAGTCGGAGAACCTGAAATCCTCAACTAACCCTCCATCACTCCCTGCCCCTGCCAAGAATCTGACCTGCTGCCTGAGCAGAAACACTTCTGGGGTGGCGTTTCACCACCACGGAGGGAGAAACCAGAGAAAACATCTGCACTGGTGATAAATCAAGAGAGGGACCGTTTGGCTCCGGGTCCTGTCACCCCACCCGCCCTTAAAATGGCCAGAGCCTCCAGCAGCACCCAAAGCACTGGAGGGCACAGGGAGCCGCTCCTGGCAGCCTGTCAGGAGCCAGGATGGGGCTCTGGGAGCAGGAACAGGCTGGTATGGTGTTAAATAGCTCAGGGCTGGCTCTGCCCAGCAGCTCCGGCTCCACGGCCGCTCGTCTTTACACCTGGATGTGGCAGAGGGAAGTTTAAAAATAACCCTGCGGGCCATCAGTCACGGGAGAGGCAGAGCAGGGCTGAAAGGAGCTGCCTTCAAACTGACCCAGAGCACAGCAGTGCAGAATTCCAGGCTGGAACCTCAGGGGGTCCTGTGTGATACCCCACAGATACTGCTCTGGGTGGTGGAGCCAAAACACACCGGCCTTGGATGGAGCTGAGGAGGAAAACAGCAGCTGCAGGGATGCCCCAACCCTGGGGATGCACCCCCAGGCTGGTCCCACCATTCCCCCACGGCACAGGATGGGATCCAAACCCCTCCTGGGCTCCCAGTCCTTGGGAGGATGGAGGTGCCTCATAAAACAGCCCCACAGCCACCACTCTGAGGGGAGCACCCCCAAAGACCCTGCACAAAGCACCCCAAAGCTCTGTAGGGAAGGGAACGACAGCAGTGCACACCAGGCCATGGCAGATAGAGCCTCAGAACAGATTTTGGGCCACAGCAGCCCCAGTTCCACCTGCCCTTGCTCATGGATTTATATGTCAAGATGAAGAGAAGGGATGAACACACAGCACTGCCTTTCCTCCCTCTAGGAAAACACCCCAAAACACTGCACCACACCAAAACATACATATCTACATCACAGAATATCCTGAGCTGGGAGGGACCCATAGGAATACCCAGCGCAGCTCCTGACCCTGCACAGACACCCCAACAATCCCACCCTGTCCCTCAAGAGTGTTGTCCAAACGCTCCTGGAGCTCTGGCAGCCTTGAGGCTGTGCCCACTGCCCTGGGGAAGTGCAAATATATAAACACACACATGTCTAAACATATACACACGCTGAATGCCTAAAACCCTGGAGCAGTGGGGGTGGTGGGGCTGCCAAAGGCAATGATCCATGGGATGCAGGAACATGGCACCAGCACCACCCCACAGCTCACACAACACTCCCCTCCACGAGCCCCCAGCTCCTCCTCGGCTCCCAAAGCACAGATCCCTCCACAACACCCTCCCCAACACTGTTTCCACGACAGGTCTGGACCCCCAGCCCTCCTTCAGGCACTCCAGGACACCCCCACCCCTGCTGCACAGCCCCCCCCAAACCTCCTCCCTGGCAGAGGGCGGTGGGAGAAGGGGGAGTAAATCACACCAGCCGTGAAGCACCAGCAGCATTTGTTGAAACCAGGATATTGTCTCTTTAAGCACATGAAAATAAGGCCCTTGAGCAGTGTGGTTCTCACTCCGGCGCACAATTATGGGTACTTTCAGCTGTCTACCACTATTTCAAGTGCTCTCTCCAACCGGGCTGTCAATGGCATGTTGAAAGCTATTTGTGGCTGCTATCGTTATTAGCAAAGTGGAGAGCCAGGCTGATGAGAATTAAATCAGGGAGGGGGGGGTGGAGGGGCAGGACACAACCCCTCATTACGGAATTACCACCAGACACCGGGATGTGGGGGGCAAAGCCCACTCAGACCCTCCAGGGGCACCCAGCACCCCCAAAATCCACCTGCAAAGCCGAGGGGAGGGAGAGGCGAAGCTCTGACAATGCTCCCTTCTACCTTAGGAGACCTGAGAGCAAGAGCTAACAAATTACTTGGCTTCTGAAGTATTTAGCAAATTATTACCTGGCACTCCTTGCTAACGAGCATGACAGAAAGTATATTGTGTTCCTAGAATATTCTAGAGGAAAAAAAAAAAAAAAAAAACCCTGCCTCTCTTCCCTGAAAGTGTCAGGGGGGGTTTAGGTTTGTTCCAAGCATTAAGTGTTTAAGCACGAAAACAAGAAGTGCTTATGTGGAGGGTTCTCAGCCATAAAAAGAAATAAAACCCAGCACAAAGGTTCTGTCCTCCGAGGTGTCCCGTTTCCCCACGCAAAATTAGTTTTTCTTTTGGAATGGTTATTGCAGTCGGCGATTATCCACGGAGATCTGCACAGAAACAATGCAAAGCCAACAGGGGAAGCAAAGTTTCTTTTGGAAAAATCAATTAGCCCTAAGAAGAGGAGGAAAAAAAAAAAAAAAAAAAAGTTTTGCCGGGGTTTCAAAAGAAAACTCATGATTGGACTCGGGTTTAGGAAAGCTGAGCCCGGGGAAGGGAGCTTAAGTTGAGCAGGAAGACTGATGTAAGGAGCGATTCACTGCAACCAAGTCACTTCCTAAATATTTCCTTGCATATGGAGTTGTTTATGAAAGTACATTTTTTTACTTAACAAGAAACAAAACGAGAAGAAAGAGGGGAAGGAAAAAAAAAACAAAAAAACCCAAAACAACACAACAACCCCACACGCAGCCACATATGCACACACTTAATATTCAGCGTAGAAGAGATAATCTGTTATATAAGCCCACAGACAGACAATCCCCTTTTGCTTAAAGATGAAGTATCCATCAATGTTTGTCTGGAGCAGATGTAATCACAAGCAGTCAAGTCTGGAGGGCAGGACACTGCATGAATAATTCAAGCACTTCAGTCTACTTGATTGTGTGCAGATAAACACAAGTCAACCGCTAAACAGGTCAGCTGATAAACTTGTTTGTTCAGGACCAGCCACCCTCAACCAGATGCAGGCAGGACCACGCCGCAATTAGCGGGATGCCTTGCGGGGGGATGCTGCAGCGGAGATGCCTTTCAGGGGGATGCTGCGGCCCCAAAGAGGGGGAAAACCCTCGGCCGGCCCCCTTCTCGCTCCGGCTCTCCCATCCCGCCGCTCCCTCTCGCCCCATTTTCGCCTGGAAGCGCGCTGGGAGCAGCTCGCGGGGCTTTGTTTTCCTCCAGCCCCGCGCACATTGCTGTCAATTAAAAGAACGAGGCGGCTTCGCCTCCCAAAGTTCGCTGAGCCCGGCGCTGTCTGTCACCGGAGCGGGCAGGGGTGCCGGGCACGGCCTGGAACCATCCCGGCAGGATTTATCCGCTCGCCCGCAAAGCTCCCAGCGAGGCACGCTGACCACGCTGGGCCACCACCACCACCCAGCAACTCCCAGGGCACCGAACCACCCCTGGGAACGCAGGGGCTCCTCAGTCACCCCCCAAAACCAGCGGGCACATCAAGGGAAGATGCCCTACGTGGTCATGGCCGGCGGAGCGGAGGATGGGGTGATCCATCCGCACCTCCCGAGGATGGTGGACCTCACAGATCCCTTGGGTTGCACCCACGGACCGGTGGAAAAACACACTGCACACCTCAGGAGCACCAACTGCTCCCAAAGCTCCCATCAGGACAACAACCTCAACATCTCCATGAGTTATTCCAGCATCACTCACAGTGGAGCCGCTCAACACCCAGCAACCAGGTGGGCACAGGCACTTCCTCTCCCCAAAGAACCCGTGTTTATGTTATTCCAGTGCCTCCAGTGTCATTCCAGCCCTCGGGCATTACCCCAGTCCCTTGGACACACAACCATCACCGTCCCGTCCTCGCAGGAGGCCACCACGGGCCTACACAAACCCCCTGCACTCCGGGGGATTTCCGACCTCCCCAGGCCAAACCCTGCCCGAGGCCTCCCCCAGCACGGGGGTCTCGGCTCCTCAAACCCCCCCAGGGCCGCCCTGCCCCGCCTGGGTCCAGGCAGAGCCAGGAGAGCGGGCGAGGAGCCGGGATTATCTGCACGGGCGAAGATATTTTTAAAAAACTGAAGACTAAGCAGGAATTATTTTCGCTGCCCTGTGACTGCGCCGCAGAAAGGCAAAGGGAAGAAAAGAGAGGCAGATTCAGAGACGCTGCTTTGCATTTCATCAGCTCCCAGCGACGCTTCCTTAGAGGAGGGCGATGCTGCTATTAAGCAAAACCACTTTGGAGTTGAATGGGGCTGATTTGCGAGCGGCAAAGTTGATGTCAACTTCTATCTGCCTTAAGTTCTTAATTAGAACTCCTTCTAAAACCAGTAAGCAGCAGCAGCACAAATAATCAGGTCTAATCTCAATAATAACTTTATTCCTTTAAGTTTTACCATCATGTGCGCAGCCTTTAGGCTCTTTAACGATAATCTTATCAAGGTACCACACCACATTCTGCTGGGGCCTTCTCTATTTTTTCCTTCAGGCAAGTTACATATTAGAGGAGACTGGAAGGGAAAAAAAAAAAACCAAAACACACCAACCCCAAACATTGCTTCATTTCCCAGATGCAAAGACAAATCCGTGACATTGAGCAACACACCGTAAGCTATCGGAGCCCTGGAGATAATTCCCTCCTCAGTCTCACGCTACAGCGTGGGGAAGATCAGGGTATGACCTTAGAAACAGTCCTGTTGTACCAACAACACAACCAGAGGCAAAGGCAGCACATATCAGTGTTTTCCCAGTTTTGGGAACGCACTATTCCAGGTAGCGACAGCCCAGCACGGCAGGCAAGGCTGTTCTCACCCCCTCGCGTAAACACTCCGCTTAAAACCCGAATTTCTCAGCAGCACAGACAAAACACCAACCTGCCAGCAACCTGCAGTTCCCAATTCAACTGCCAGGCCACGGGATTCCCACCTGGAGTCACATCCCTGCCTTCAGCACTTACTACTCCCCATTTAGTGCAATCAGGGCCCATTTTACCTCAGGTTGAGGAAAAGGGCAACAGGAGATCAATCAATCCCAACTTCCCCCCTCGAAATTACTCACTTGTTTGTGCATTTCAATGTTCAAACCGTACGACATTTCGTAGTACTGGGGAATAAAAACATACAAATAAATTCAATTAAAGGAGAGAGCCGAGGAGAATTTGAATTAACTTCACAGAGGGTATTTGCATAAGGTCATTACCAAAAAGCATCCTGGTCAAAACTGGGCTTAAAGCACTTGGTAGCCAAGGAAATTACACCTTATAATAAGCAGATGTTTATGGGTTTAACTGGCAGGCACTTAACAAGGGGACACTCCTTTTGACTCCTGTTTTCTCCTCCTAAGCTACTTAGAAAAACAAAGAGGCGCAGAGCTGGGTGACAGGCGTCTGCTCAGCCCTGGCAGAACAGGTACAGCCCGGAGTCTGGCCAAAATTCCAGCTTCTCACTGGGGGGGTGGATTTATATTCCCCCCCCCCCTCCTTCCCTGGGGCTAGTGGAGCTGCTGGGAGCCTCGGGAGCCGCCGGGAAAGGGGGTGCTGGCTCCTGCTGAACCCAGGAGAAACCCAACCGAGCCCACCTGGGGGGCCCGCGCCGAAAATCTGGCTAAAAAAGAGGGTTTTGAGGCAACAAAAGAGCCCATTTCCCCCGGGAGGGATGAGCGGGGTGAGCTGGGATGGCTCCCGGGTGGCCTCACTCCGCGCCTCGGGGCAGCAAAGGGGGGACCCCCATCACGCCGAGGGACCCCCCCGGAGCTCGGGGGCGCTGCTCCAGCCTCCCCCCAACCCCCCCGGAGCTCTACAAAGGGGTTAACAGGAAACTTGGGATTGCGCTCCCAGCCGCCTGGGGCTCCGTGCGCCTGGCACCGGGCACCCCCCACCGCCTCCGGGGGTCCCCGAGCAGGCAGTGCCCGTCCCGGGGGGGGGTCCCCCGGTCCCCCCCGTCCGCAGGCTCCCAGCTAATGACATTTACAGGCTGATCCGAAATCTGATTAAAGTCTCTCACCATAACGTAATGGCGCTGCATTTCGGTCTTCTCGTTCGCCAGCTTGTCATACTCCACTTTGAGGCTGGGGGGGGGAGAGCGGAGGGTGAGACCCCGTGGGCGGGGGGGCGGCGGGGCGGGGGGTGCAGCCGGGGGTCTCCCCCGGGCTCACCTGTGGTACTGGGCCTGCAGGAACTGGAACTCGTCCTTGATCCGGTCGCAGGACTCGGCCACGGTGAATTTGAAGCCCGGTTGGCCCGGCTGGTGCGGAGCCT